GCCGCGGCGTCTCTCCCAGCCCGGCCCGCCCGCTCCATGCCTCTCCGTTGCGGAAAGTGTAGCGGGGGTAGGCGGCCGCACGGAGCGCGGGAGGCCCGGGCTCGGCCCCCTGCAGCACTAGCCTCCCGGGAGCCTTGCGGCGCGTCCCGTTGGCCCCGCTGCCCGTGCGCCCGCCGCAGCCTGCATGCTTCGCGCTGCGCCGCTCCGCGCCCCCGCCGCCGCCTCCTGCTCGCACCGCTGCTGCCGGGCGCCGGAGTAATATGCTCACTCGAGTGAAATCTGCTGTGGCCAATTTCATGGGCGGCATCATGGCTGGCAGCTCGGGCTCCGAGCACAGCGGCGGAGGCTGCGGAGGCTCGGACCTGCCCCTGCGCTTCCCGTACGGGCGGCCGGAGTTCCTGGGGCTGTCTCAGGACGAGGTGGAGTGCAGCGCCGACCACATCGCCCGCCCCATCCTCATCCTCAAGGAGACCCGGCGGCTGCCCTGGGCTACTGGATACGCAGAGTGAGTGCCGCGACACCGGCGGGCCCCCCGCTCTCCTCACGGCCCTTCCCCGCACGGTTCCGAACCTCCTCTCTTCTTGTTCCTCAGCCCCCAGGGTTCTCTGGCTGCCGGCGTCAGGCCTCGCCGGGTACCTTAGGCGGGTACCTGACCATTCCTGTCTTCTCCACGCCCCCTTCCCCCATCCCCAAGGACGCGGCGTCTCCAGCCCGGGTATGGGTGGTAGATGGGTAGGTGAAGCGCTGGACCGTGGGAAAGCGGAGGTTGGGCGGATCTGTGGTTTCGGGGGCTGTGGCACTTGGGAATGCGTAGAACAGTTCTGCTGAAGTTTGAAACACAGCAGGGAAATCGGGTATCTGTGTTCTCCACCCCAAATCTTTGTGCCTCCAGGTGAAGTGTGTGGGGTAGAGCCTGGAGGAGCGGTCCCTGCGCCAGGGGTGGGGGTGGGGGTGGTGTCCGAGCCCGGGAGGCGGCCGCGTTTGCTTCCGAGGTTGCACGTTTCGGAAGGTCTCCGTTTCCTGACTTCAGCCTCATAGCTTATTCGCTTCTCGGTTAGCAGGTAGTAAAACCCTGCGCGTTCGTTAAATGCCAGTACAGTTCCCTCCAGCCCTTCGGGAGGGAAAAACTTATTCCAGGTGTTTAATGACAGCATTTTGGTCATCAGCTTTGGCGATTAAACGAGCGTTTGCGTGATTTGCTATTTCAAGAACCGGTTGAGTTTTGTTGACGCCCTGGAGTGGAACAGGGCTAGGAGGGCGGGAGGGTTTTAATGGCTTCTGCCCCCCTCTTCGGCTGCTCCCTCATTGACTGTATTAATGACCATTTTATGAATGGTGGGAGAAGTACTGTTTCTCCCCCTGTTTAGCGTTATGGAACCGCGAAGCTCCGGGGGTGGAATTTAAGAGCACTGAGTCGTGGGGTTAATGGTGACCTGGTGGTTGCAGAAATTGCACGTGAAATCCTGGCGCCTTGGCACACCTGCCCCTTCAGCTTTAACCGGGTCCGCTCTGTAATCTGGGCCCTCCCTCGCCCGTGCACAGCTTCGCCCGCTGATTGGTCCCCGATGAGCCAATCAGCTCTCCCGACGCCTGAGCGCTCTGATGCTGACCCTGTTCTGGTGGCCCGGATACCCCGGGCGGGCTGGGTTCCCGGCACTCCGGTTCCGGTGCGAGAGGTGGCCTGGAAGATGCTCTGCTTAGAATCTGGAATCCTCCCTCCACCACCCCCTCCCACCACCCACTTTCCACATATAACCGTTTCTCCATGGGCTGAAACAGAAAATGGGTATAAATGGGGATAGACGGCTCCGGTGTGAGAGTGAGGAATCCGAAGTGAAACTGATGGGTGCTAAAACATAAAATTAACACATTACAGCGGTTCTCAACCTATGGGTCGCGAGCCCTTTGGGGGTCGAACGACCCTTTCACAGGGGTCGCCTAAGACCATCGGAAAACACATAGATAATTACATATTGTTTTTGTGATTAATCACTATGCTTTAATTATGCTCAATTTGTAACAATGAAAATACATCCTGCATATCAGATATTTACATTACGATTCATAACAGTAGCAAAATTACAGTTATGAAGTAGCAACGAAAATAATTTTATGGTTGGGGGTCACCACCACATGAGGAACTGTATTAAAGGGTCGCGGCATGAGGAAGGTTGAGAACCACTGCAGGGTCAGCATGGAAGAGAACGTTGGGGGTGGGGACGCACAAAATAGCTCTGCAACTTCCAGGAGAAAGCCAAAGCAAAAATAAACACCTATGTAAGGAGAGACCTAGAGGAGGGAAAAGTGCCTGCCAAAACACACCACTGTTTCTTGGCTGCAATGAGAAAGCATTATTTAAAAGCTCATTTGGGCCCTTTGCAAGACAAAAGCAGCTTGAAGGCATACTCCTCCCTGCAGTTGTGTAGGTGGGCCCTTGTGCCTGCCCCAAACCAGAAAGTGTGGGGCTGGGATGGCACTCCAGTGGGCTTTCCAGGGCAAGGGCACCTGTGGGGTCGGGGTGGAGAAAGGCAAGCAGGCAAATGGTGAGAAATGTGGAAGCCACTTGGGCACAAGAAAAGGAGTACCCCAGAGAAAGGGGGAGAACCCCACCAGTTTCAGAAGGTTTGGATCCTATGGCCGGCACACCATGTGCCTAGGGCTGTAAAGAGGATAAGGGGATCTGAAATGAGACATGTAGAAGAGATTGTACTTCAAGGGCTCTGCCTCTTCCTAGCTGGGCTTCTGTTTCCTTATTTCTAAGACAGGACATGAGAGAGGTTCGATTTGAAGGTTAAGAAAGGCCATTGTAAAATGCTTCGTTTTAAAAATAGTACATGTTAATTCAAGCAAAGACCTGTATGTAAATGTAAGCCCTTCCTCACCCCCCAGGGGCAATGGTGATTCAGCATTTTGTGTGTGTACCTTTTAAGCTTCTTTGGATGCACCTGTAAATATGTATCATTTCTTCTTTTCCCCCCAAACAGATCCATACTACGCATGTTATTCAGCAGCATTTTCTTAAAACACGGTGTCATCGATTGTATTCCAAGTCATTGCATATAGAAGTTCCTCATTCTTTTAAAATGTATACATAGTACTAAATAACAGCTAACAGTTAGTACTTGCTGTTTAGGGCTTGCATTCTTTCCAAGTTTGTGTCATATCATTTGATTCTCACAACAACCCTCTAAGGCAGCTATTTTCAACCTTTTTCATCTCATGGCTCACATGAACTAATTATTAAAATTCTGCAGCACAACAAATATATTTTTTGCTAATCTGGCAAAGAAAATAGATATAATTTTGATTCATTCACACTGGATGGCTATTGTTGTGTTGGCTAGTGTCATTTAAATTTGACAATCTAGCCCTAACCGGTTTGACTCAGTGAATAGAGCATCAGCCTGTGAACTGGGGGGTCCCAGATTCGATCCCAGTCAAAGGCATGTACCTTGGTTGCAGGCACATTCCCTTTGGGGGTGTGCAGGAGGCAGCTGATCAATGTTTCTCTCTCATCGATGTTTCCAACTCTCTATCCCTCTCCCTTCCTCTCTGTAAAAAAAAAAATCAATAAAATGTATTAAAAAATAAAATAAATTTGACAATCTAAGGGAAAAAAGGTCAGTGTCTCTGACTAAATAGTCAGCTACTGCATGTTTTAAAAAATCTTGCGGCATACTAGTTGAAAATCGCTCTAAGGTGAGCACTAACAATTCCATTTTATAGATGAGGATACAGAGGCATGGAATGGTTAAGTAACTTGCCCAGAGTCATGCCACCTTAGCAGAACCTGTATTTGAACCCAAGCAACCTGACTTTGTAGCCCACAACAACAAACTACCTCCTTACAATGTATGAAATTGTGCTACATCCATCTGTACCCAGGGTTAACCATTAACATTGTCTTGCCATCTCTCTCTGTCAGATGTTGTACTGTACCACTTCCTCAAACCTTGAATTGTAGTTGATCTTCCTGCAAAATATATCTCGAATGACCAAAAATGGCTGAAATAGGGAAGGGGAGAAAGACAAAGACAAGTAGGAACTGGGCTATGATTAAAGGCTGCTACCATTAAAATTGCCCCTTGCTACAGGATGTACTGGGAGGAGGAATTCTCTTCTCTTTGTTCTAGAACAGTGGTCAGCAAACTGCGGCTCGAGAGCCACATGCAGCTCTTTGGCCCCTTGAGTGTGGCTCTTCCACAAAATGCCGACTTCTGCGCATGGGCCACAAAGTTTCTATCGCATTGTACGTGCGCGCCCACACGTGGTATTTTGTGGAAGAGCCACACTCAAGGGGCCAAAGAGCCGCATGTGGCTCGCGAGCCGCAGTTTGCCGACCACTGTTCTAGAAGGTACTTGAGAAAGGATAGCATTGGTAGGAAGATGGCTCAGGGATAAGAGAGATGGCACTGAGTCAGGGCCTGAGTCAGAAGTGGTTTGCTTATCTTTCTAGAGCAGTGGTTCTCAACCTTGGCTGCACATTAGAATCACCTGGGAATCATTTTAAAATCCTGATTTCTGGGCCTCATCCTCCGGAAATTCTGTTTCTTTGCTACTAATGATGAGGCCCAGAAATCAGGATTTTAAAAAGATTCCCAGGTGATTCAAATGTGCAGCCAAGGTTGAGAACCACTGTTCTAAAAGCTTCCAATTATGGCTGAAAAGTTAGCTGCTTGATCAAGGGCTACATGCTAGGTTTACAAGCACTGCAGTTACAGGCAACATCCATAGAGCTAAAATCTTTCCCAAAACTTGCATTCTAGTTTGGCTTTGAAATTCCTGACTTAGCCTGTTAGATCTGCTCAGAGTGAGCCCATTCGAAGCATCAGTCTGACCCAGAGACCCTTCCCAGCAGCTACTTCCTTTCTCTCACCACAAGTTTAAATACCATCCGGTGGTCCCTGTGCTTCAGGGACCTAGAAGTCAGTTCAATTTCTAGTTGGCTAGGAGCCCATTTTGACTTTTCTTCTTCTTGACCTGTTTGTCCACCTTTCTCCTATTGATGGTCATTTGGACATAGATATACAAGTGGATACCTGAAACTTACAGCAGTAGAGAATGCCAGAGAATGTGCAGTTCCCTGTATATGAAAGCAGCATATTCAGATTTTTATCTGTGATAAATTTATTTGCTTGTACAGAAATAATAATAATTATAGCATAAGTTTACTTAGGTTATAGCTATAACTCTACAAATTTTTTTAGTACCTTTCTCATAAAAGTACCCTGTACATAGGTACAAAAAAGAAAAAGCTTAAGAGTTTCTATTAAATGTACATTACATAAGTTATTTGTGTGTCATTGACTTCAAAATTGTGAAATTTTGCCTGGCTGGTGTGGCTCAGCAGTTGAGCGTCAACCCAGGAACCAAGAGGTTGCCAGTTCCATTCTCTAGTCATTGGCACTAAATAGCAATTACCAATAAATCGCATTACTTGCCTGTGCAGTGGAGATGACAGAGAAACCACTATTTCTCTCTCGCTCCAAAGCTCATAAATCTCCT